CGGCCGGCCCTGCCCGCGCCCCTCCGTGAGGAGCGGCCGCCTGAGGCGGCGACCCGCGCGCTGCTGGGCTGGGGGAGCGCGAAAACCCTTGATCCGCTCGGTCTCCGCCGCCGTGAGCCCGCCCGGTGCTGCCGCCCTCCTCGGGCGGGGAAGGCGGGAGCTGTGGGGGGTACCGGCGCGGCCGCCCGCGGCCACGGAAGGTTCTCTCCTCTGCTGCTGGCGCCGTTTCTCGCCACAGGCAGGCTTTCCCGCCCCGCTTCTCGCATCGCCCGCGCCACCCCTGCGCCCTTCGGCGTCCGCCCGGCGTGTGTATTGCGGCGCTGGGGGTCGCGTTGGAAAGCCACCCTCTTGCAGCAACGCAGGCAGGTCGTGAGGCAGAAAGGCAGGCAAAACAGTCCGTCTGGATCCTGAAGTGAGAAAATAACAGTACGTGGCAAGGGGAAGAGTGAAGAGTTATTTTATTGTCCTTCTACAGCAGGGACTAAGGCGCAAGAGGTGATCCCAAACCAGGATTCAAAGGTCTAAGACAGTCCTGAAAACACGTGTGGAGAAGCGGCTTACTTTTGATGTAATTCCGTGTCTTGATCGCAAATTGCTTGCCCAGAATCTCACAGGACCGGTTCCAAAGCCAAGAACTGAGTCTGGACCCTGAGCCCTTGTCTCGTATCGCTATCAAAAGCCCTTGTTCCTGCATTTCCCTTACTTCTGCACTTTTTTCCCTTCATGTTAAGAATCGTCCTTCCAAGTTCTCTTTTCCTCTCATTCAAAAATACGTAGTCCGAAAAAACCTTTTACTGACAACCCACTGGGGAAACAGACCTTTGTTTACTGTAATTGGATAATTTCTGCATTTTTACTGTCCTCTGGACGGTTGCTGAAATCTACCTCTGTCATCCACTTCATTTAGACTGCAAACACATTGAGACAAACAATTTTTTTTAAAGTATTTTTTACAATGCCGAAAATATGCTTAGTTATAAATAAGGATGTAGTCAAAATTTCTGCCTGTTTCACTCTTCCTGTAGTCAGTTCTGAATTGAGGAATGGTCTGTATACAGCACAAAATGTGGATTGTCTGAGCTGCATCTTAGCAGATAAATGCTATACACTTAAAAAGTTTCGCAGCTGTCATTTAAAATAAACGGACACACCAGAAAGAAAAAATTTGTCTTGGGAAAAATTCTGTTGTTCAGCCTGGCTGAACTTGTGGCCTCCTAGCTCTGTTACAGCAGTTGCAAATAACAAAGGGACACAACTTATTCACAGTTTGTGTTGTTTACAAGACTCATGCCCTTTTGCTGAGCTTATTCTGTTTTCTGATTCAGAGAACACTCCTTTTCTGTGTTGAGTCTTCATCTGGAAACAAAGGCAGTGGGGACTGAAATAGAGAATTAAATTCTGGATGTACGCACCCTGATCTATAGGACTGCTTCTGTTGACTTCAAGGGGCTTTGGCTATGTCTCTGTCCTGCCAGAATATTTTCTCTTCTTTGTCAGATGGGAAAGTGTCTTAAGTATTTAGTGGTTTTCTGGGAAAAACAGAAAGCTGGGCTCTTGACTGGCATCAGCCTGTAGAGATACCAGATTGTCACTAGTCTTCACACACTTTTTTGTCACAGGGACTGCCTTTGGCTTAAGCAGTCCAGAGCTCAATGGTTTAGCTCGCCACTGTTTTTCTAGTCCATTAAAAGAGCTGCTGTGGTCACTGAAACAGCTGAGTAAGCGTTCCCATACAGGGGGATCTGTACTAACAGAATTACATGATTAAACAGGGTGTTACTGAGGGCTGCACAAGAAGCATTGCTTGTTCTCTTTTGTGTAATTGTTGTTAATTTTCAATTGGTTTCTTTAAATTTGGCAGATGGAAGCTGAAGAGGAAGGGGCAAAAAAACTGTCGGAAGTAAACTTTGAAAACTTACCTCCCAACTACCATAATCAGTCCAACACGGAAACCAGAATTGGTAATAAAACTGTTCAGACTCATCAAGAAATTGATAAGGTATGAGAAAACATGTATAGCAAGCTGCTGGTTCTTACGCACCTTTTCTTCAGAAATAAAAACAATTTTGCATGTTTTGGGGAGAAATAAGATAATTTGGAGCATAAATTTTCCTGATGATAATTACTTTGGGGTTTTATTGTATCTTATTTGCTTGCATAATCACTGTGTAGGGGCACATGTCATAAAAGGTTAATGTGAAATAATAATTTATTTTGGAAAAAGTGCCTGCTAAAAACAGAACATAGGTACAGCTGTTACATGGGTCATAAAAGAATGACCATCTCCCACTCAGTTAGCTTCATTACAGTAACATTTTAAATAGATAAGGAGGTAGTCTTGTCATCTGCTTTTTCCCCCATATTAGGATTTTATACAACTGACAGCAAAATGGGAAAAAAGGTGGGGTGGGTTTATTATTACAGAACGTAGGACTGAGAGTAACAACGGACTAATAAAAAAATGTAGCTTGATATTTTGTTCTTCTTTTGCTGTATTAGGTTACAGATAACAAAACTGGAACAACAGTTTTTTCTGAGACAGTTATTACATCTGTAAAAGATGGAGAAAACAAAAGAAATCATGTAAGTGAACACTATTTTTCCTTTTGAAAATTAAACAAATACTTTGGGTTCATCATTCAGAAGAAGGTGATATAGTTCACCTAGCGAAATTTCTGAATGCTTTAAAACACACAAAACCGTTAGGGGTAAGCAGTCAAAAATGTTTTTGTTCTTTAGTTTCTTTAACTTGGGAATATTATGTTATGAATTGGAAGCTGAGTTTCAATGTCGTGGTTAACTGAGGTGCTTGATCTGAATATTCAGTTTGTCTGTCAAATGTAAATGTTGTACTCAAATAGCAAAGATAGTTACACAGCCCTTTCCAGTGAGTGTGAATAAACAAACCCTTAGTATAACTGTGCTTCATGTATGTCTTCTCTATGCTTTTTGGTTTCATAAAAAAGTTGGTTTTTAGACTTTAAACACTGGAAAATAACTTGTCTATCATGAGGAGTCTGTGGAACAGTATATGACTCTATTTGCTTTTCAGCCTAAACTAGTGATGGACAACTGGTTGTGAAATGTCACTTTGGGGAGGGAGAGAGGGGTGGGACAATAAATCCCCCTCCTCCCTGGAAATATGGTTGTTTAAGGATTCTTAAAGAAGTTTAAAAGATCAAGAATATTCTTCACCCAAGTCTTGCACACAGGTACATTTGCTAAACATCAGTAGTCCCATGAGAAATTTGGCACATACCACTACTTAGAACAACTGTTAGGTTTTCTTTCGTTATAGTCTTACCAAAATGGACTTTTTTAATGCTCTTACTAAGACAGGACTTGCCAGTGTTTCCTCTGATAGCTGGCTTCATCTGACTAACAGTTTGTGGTTTAATTTAGTTTAATATGCTCTGTTTGTTTTTTTTTTTTTAGAGTAACTTTCTTCCAGTTCTTTCTCAGAAGCAGCTCTTTAACTATTTCATAAAGCATTAAAAAAAGAAAAAATTATGGTGGTAGTTCCTGTTTTTAATGGGCATAAAACCTGAAATTAGTGCATCTTTTCTGCTATCATCCTCTGACTAAATTTTCCCTCTTTCAGCTCATATTTTTATACTGCTATTAAAGTTTGAGAATGGCAAGTAGCAAAATAAAGTTGCTTGTGTATGCTATACTTTTTTTTTTACTATTTTGCAAAGTTTATAGATTAAGTGGTAAGTCAAGGTACAAAAGAAATTGCAACTATTCTGAGCTACAGCTTGGTTTTATACAAAGTGTTAACATACTCCACAATGCTTTTTAGTAATGAGATATGTGTAATGAAGGCAATCAAAATGGTTTTTTTTTCAAGCAAATATGGTCATCATCTTCAAACCCAGTGTACACAGGTAAACTTTTCAACCTTCTTAGAAGTGGGACACAACACTGGTGTTGTTTCATAATATATTTGGCTTGCTTGTGGTGTTTAATCATTCTTCACAGCTGTAAAAAATATTTCTAAATTAGCTTTCTCCAACATTTCTACAAAGTTCCTTATAAGCTTCATATATCAAGTGACATCTGCATTTTCGTTATGGGAAGGTTGCCTCACTTACAAAGCCAGTCCTGCATCCAGACCCAATACTGTTATTAGTCTTCCAGCTGAAGAATTTGAGGGCTGAATACAAATTTTTGTCAGATTTCATGGTAGCAGTCTTTATTCAGTTATGAAGTAAGCATAATCAGAAGCAATCACATTAACTCCTAATCATTTAAATCCTGGGGCACTTTATTCATCAATATCTTTACTACAGCAGCTGCTGAAACAAAACTACATTTGTTAATGTTTATTTTCCCTCTCACACTCATTTTGAACTCTCAGCATGCCCGTGGTACAAACACCTTATTTAGAGGTTGCCAAGGTAGAGAAAAAGCTAAATGGGAAAAGCAACCAACAGATGTATTTGGTTGTTATTTAAGGAGAGCGGGCAAACATGCATATATTAATTCAACTAAGAGATGCCTAACAGAAGTAAATCTGAAAATACTTGAAAACTTTAAGCATTAAGGAGGAATATGAATTACTTAGGGTACTACAAGGGTGAAGAACTACTGTAGAAGTAATGGCATGAGATTGAGAGTTGGAAAATTTGGGTTACAGCAAGAAAAACATGCTGCCAAGGAGAGATCTACCAGGTGGAAGAAAAATTTTGTCCAAATTAAAAAGCACTATTGCTTAGATCTGTAAACTTAAGAGCATTGGGAAAATGAGTTGCAGAAAACTTTGCACTGGCCCCTTAGACCATTTATATATATATATAAATTTTCATACTTGAAGTGTCATGTGACATTGTGGGATGTCCCAGTCACTTTCCAGGCTGCAGGCTTCACAGACCACTGGATGATAATTCTGCTTCTTTGCTGCTTATTTTAAACGTTAGCAACAAAGTAATACATGTATAGGTTTTGTATTCTTCAGGCAGTTAAAAATGGAAACTTTTTGAAATTTGTTTGGAGATTATCTCAGTGGATCTCTAACTATAGTTAGTATATGCTGTTCTGTAATACACATCCTTAATACCCATCAGTGATTCATCCTGCTGTGTAGTCTTAATGCAACAAAAGGTTTGTATAATTGTATCTGTAAGTATTGACAGTAATTTGAAAAGGGTGATACTGACATTTTTTTCTGGGGATGGAGATTTTGGTAGCAGAGGCTGTAGGGAGCCAGCCGTTGGGAACAGGACCTCTGTTCTGATGCTACTCCCGTAGACTTCAGATTGGTGCCTCTTTAGAACAGCACTTTTGTTTTTATTCTCAATCTGCCAAGTAAAAGAAATAGGCACATGCTATCACACAAGCTCAACTTTTATGCTTGTAGGGAAACTGAATGCTGAAAACTAAACCTGTTTCACAGGTTCAGTTTATAGGCTTAGCTTATGAAAGTTAAGGATTTCCACAGCTCCTGCACTTGAGGTACAAAATTGGGTGGTAAATACAAGAGTTCATCAAACACCTTAGCAAACCACCTGCTCTGAAATGTAAACTCTGCAGTAATTAGTAATAACTGGAACTCTACAACCCTCAATTCACATTTATTCTCTGAGCTGAGTTAAAAGCCACTGAAATAATGGAAAGTTTTTCCAGTGACATTTTTGAGCTTTGAGACATGATGCAAAAACCTCACGGGTAGGCAAAGATGTGTCTTGCGACGGGTCTGTGTTGCAATAAAAATCCACATATTGTCTGGAATGAAATTCGGCATGGGAGAAGCAGCTTCACGGAAAATAGGTTGCGTCTGTCTTTTAAATCACAGTGGCTGTGCCACCCCATGTCCTCCTGCAAACAGGTAGAAATACACTTCTATATAGTATATACACATACATATAGTGCAGATACAGTGTTACAGAAACATACGGCATAATCTTACACACACACACACACACACACACTTTTCCCTCTCGGACAGTATTTCTTGGCTTTGCATCACAGAAGTATTCTCTTAAGACTGTGTTCTTTGTTACCAAATGGCTCACTTGACAGTATTTTGATGGCCAGACGACTATCAGTATTTTAAGTCTTTAGAAGAGGAATTGGGCTGCTTGCCATTTCTGGCAATGCAATCCAGTTCTTCAGAGGTGCTGCATTATTTGCAGGCGCCATTTACATTCCCAGACTAACATTCACTTTCTCAGATGTCAGTGAGGACTGACAGTCACCAGCATAGACGTCAGGCTTTGATCCAACAGTCTTGTATCTTTAGAGGCCGAATACAGGCAAGAGGTAGCTGGATGTGAATGTTTCTCTGTCTGTGCAGAGTTTTACTTCCACTTGCTCCTGGGTTTAAGGCTCAAATACTCTAATTTATTTCTTTGGGAAACACTGGTTAGCTTGCAAATTAATAGATTATTTCCAGTAGTAAGCTCAAGTGTAGAACACAGATAAAGTAACAGTGCTCTTTATTACCATATGAAAATCAAAATCTTTTCTAGCTTGTTGATTAGTCTTATTTCAATTGTGATACATTAGCCTAACCAATGAAAAGCAAGCATGAAAAATAAAAGGAAACAAAATTAGTACTGGAAGATTTGCTGCACAAAGATCAGTTGTGTTTCTTCTCATTTGTCTTCAGAGTAGTATTTTATATCAGCTCTCTCTTCTAATTCAAATCTAGTGTACCTAAGATTTTTTTTTAATTGTCTGTATTAATTTGATAAATAAAAATAGCAACAGCTTCTTTTTAGGAAGGTGGTTTTTTTTTCCTTTTTTTCAAACTTTAATAGAAGTATATCTCGTTGCTTTCAATTCTCTTTCTTGAAAGAGATTTTTAAAGATGCTAGTATCTAGGGAGAGTGTACTGGGGAACTGGAAGAGTATAATGCATTTCTCATTTGGCTTTGGCACTATAAAAAACGCTCCTTTCTTTTGCCTGTCCTTGATGGTAGAGGCTCTTGAGGGCATGACTGCGCCTTCTCATTAGTTCCACAGTACAGGTCAAAGTTTCTTTGTGGGAGAGTAAGGAAAGGTGCCTTCAGTGTGATTCTGTGCAAGGTGCTTGCTCTTTCTCTGCAAAGGTGGGTGTGTGCCTGTATGCACACATGTATTTGGCACCCGCCTTCTGCAAATACAGTAGCTGGTTAGTAAGTAATTTCAAACACTCTCAGGTCCTTTGAAGAGAGGCCCCATGATACCAGGCCTTTATTTCCATGGTTAGAAGCTGCTGTTTGGATCCCTGCAGCTCTGGGCAGGGAGGACTCTATCACTGTGGACCTGCTTTTACAAGCTGACTTGGCAGGTTCTTGAAGCAACCGTCTGTCAGGTCACTGGTTTATCTGTAGAGACAGAATAGATAGCATCCCCATTATAATGGCCGTATTTAAAGCATTTTTCAGCCTTTATCTTTAGTCTCACAGTAAAGAGTAAAAAGGAAGAAAATAGTAGAAGAATTAAATGTTAATCTCTGGGGTTCTATTTCCCCCTTTTCTAGAGAAAAATGTGTTTTAAATGGCTAAGTTGTAGCACTTCATAACCAAGCTTCCACTTCTCTGCAGGTATCCAGAACTGCTAAAGTAACTGCTTGATTCCTGTCTGAGCAACTTTTATAT